AATTGCTGCACTGTGACGGTGCTCCTTTGCATTCCTGACTTATTAAAGGGAAGGTGGTGGATTCCCTAATGTCTCACCTGGCGTCTCCTCCAGGATGTTTTTCAACTTCCCTCTTCGTACTTCTCAGTGCCACAGCCCTGTTTTAACTTCTTTTCCCACCTTCATCTCGTGCTGTTTTTCCAGGTCGAGTCAGGCATGTTAAAAAAGTACAGGAGATTTTTCTTGGCTGACAACCACTGTAGGGCAGGGCTGGCTTGTGGGGAGAAGGTGGATACTACCAGGATATGCACAGATAATGACAACAGAAGCACACATTTTTGACAGGCATTGTCATGTGAAAGTGAAACACTCATTAAATTGTTACATAGTGAAAGTCTCCAAAGTTGCTATGTTGCCAAAGTTAAAATGGAGCCCAACTGGGTTTCTGGGGTTTTCCTTTCTTTCTTTCTTTCTTTCTTTCATTCTGTAGTTTTGGAGTGTACTGACTGAGAGGGTTTAGATGCATGGTCTTACAGATATTACTGGGTATTAACATGAAAGACAAGTTACTGTTGTGATCAAACAATTAAAGTTTACCTGGGCTTTCAGTAAGTTAGGCAGGTACATGTGGGGTTTCAGTCAAGTATGGAATGAAATAAGGATTTCTTTGAAGGTCGGGGCAGTGCCTGCATCCAGATTAGAATAAAAATAATATAAATGTGAACTGCTTGCATTAGTTAACAGGGAGGATCACACCTACGACCTTTGGAGCTAAAAAGCAGTGAAGAGTTATAGCTTTGGATCAAAGAACCAATTTCTGATCTGAGAGATGCCACAACAAAGCCACATTTCTTGTGGTTCAGGCAAAGATGAACGCACTCTGTGCTGACCAGCAAGGGTCAGAATTCATTCTTGCTGGAGAAGCCTATGGTAAAGGGAGCATTTCACCCTCTGTGGTTCTTGCCTGGTGTGGGGCATAGTTGTCCAAGAGTTCCTAAGCTTTATTCAATTTCATTACAAAATTATTTATGGACCTTCTTCTTCACCTCAGAAACCACTTAGGGAGAGCCATTTCTCTAGTTCACAAGAAACCACAGTTTTTAATAAACGTACTCGGGAACCGTGTTTCATCTCAGCCAGTGCGAGCTGTTGGTGGGGCAGAGCACTCCTCTGCGCTGGTCCCCCTCAGCTCTCCTTGTA